GCTTTTAAATTTTACAATCTTACCTGTTTTGCCAGAGCCATAATTTATAGGTGTGGCTACCAAGATGCCAGCATCACGTCTATTAATGAGTATATGTCTGTTCTCTTTGATGAGACCACACAGGATTTTATTTCCACTATAGTAATTGTGGTTTGGAATGGACTAGCCGTTTTCAAAAGTTGAGAAGAGCTTTTTTCTCTTCATTGTCAGCAAAGATGTATTATACATTGATGTTAAAAGTTCATTCATCATCTTAAAATATACATTAAAGGCATTCCTTCTACATTAGCTATGTATGAAATGGCTCACATTAACCAGAGAGTCTCTTCCTCTGCTGCTGCAAAAGTCTACAGTCTGCTAATAGAGACTGCTGCCACACTGTGCTACTAGTAGTATAGTGTTTGAGTTTTCTAATAAAGATGATTTAGTCTCACGTTCATTCGCACTTCCTTTGAGCTGGCTCTTATTCGATCAACAGCTGTCTTGTTGTAGAAGCATTGTGCTGCAGAATGGGAGGGAGAAGAAGAAAGGTACTAAAAAAACATTTTAGTCGCTACTCTTGAGATTGTTTATAGTTCTAGAGCTAGTAATTTTCAACCCAGGCCAATTGTCCCCCCAGGAGGACATTTGCAACATCGGAGGGACACTTTTGGTTGTCACAACTAAATGCTGCTTTAATATCTTATGGTTACATTGTGCTTAAATCTCTGCTTGGTTCTCCTCCTCCCCGGAGGGAAGGAGGATTTAACCAATGTAACCATATACCCACTATTAACCAGTAGCACTCTCTCAGTTGTGACAACCAAAAGTGTCTCCAGATGTTGCCAAATGTCTCCTGGGGGGCACAATTGCCCTGGGTTGAAAATTACTGCTCTAGACTATAAACATCTCAAGAGTGGACTAAAATGTTTTTTTAGTACCTTTCTTCTTCTCCCCTCCCATTGCAGCACAATGTCTTACACACAATAGACAGCTGTTGAATGAATAAGAGAGCTCAAAGAAGTGAATGAAAGTGAACTAAATCATCTTTATTAGAAAAACTCAAAGCACTTATACTACTAGTAGCACAGTGTGGCAGGCAATGTCTTATTAGACTGTAACTTCTTTGAGAGCAGAGCAGAGACCTTCTCTGGTTAATGTGAGCCATTTCATACATAGCTTAATGTCAGAGGAATCCTTTAATGTATATTTTAAGATGAGTGAATGACAACTTTTTAAATAAATGTTAATAATCACAATCCTTGCTGACAATGAAGAGAAAAAAAGCTTTCTCCATTTTGAAAACGCTAGTCCATTCCAAACCACAAATTACTATAGTGAAATAAAATCCTGTTGGTCTCATCAAAGGAGACAGACATATATCATTAATAGACCTATGCTGGCATCTTGGTAGCCACACCTATAAATATGGCTCTGCAAAACAGGTAAGATTGTAATTTAAAAGCAATGTAAACTATGGAGAAATATATTTTAGTATAATCAGTACTAAAATTAAAGGTTCCAAATGTTGCCAATTAATTGTAATTCCAATCCTAATTCACTCCAGGAAGGAAAACTATATACTTCTACATGCTAAAATGTTACATTTCCTCTGTTAAATAATATTTTACCTCAGAATTGGACACACCAGTTGTGGTCACTTCTTTTGTTTTCTACTTGCTGAACAGAGGAGTCACAGTAGAGTCTTAGTTCCGACATTTTGGTCTTCAAGTTTTCAGTGTTTTCAGCAAATTCTAAATAACAAAACAATGATAATGTAGTAATCAAAAATAAATAACCAATTTACTCGTTAGTATACTACACAGAAGTGAAATATATATATATAACCTATGCCCAAAGTGAGATGTTTAAAGTATGGGGTTATAGATGTGATAGGTGAAAACATGAGATGAAAAACAGAAAAATAGATTTCCAGTCTTTTAAAGTAATATACATTATTTCTTGAGCAACATATTGAATAATCACACAGTATAGGAAGGAGACAACATATTGTCTTACCACTCCTGTCAGAACTTGAGTAGAAGGATTCAGAGTTTTTTTGTTCTGCCACACAGAGCTTTCCCAATCTGTAAAATGGGGTCATAGTATCTACCCACTAATGCAGAACTCTGCTCATACCTGAGAATCAGCTTTCTGTAGTGTCCAATTCCACTAAGACCACCATATGTAATTTCGGCTGAGACTGGTTCAGACCTTGTGCTAATGGCACCCGCCATTATTAGCAATGAACTCCAGCCACCCTGGCGGCTAAGGGCTCAGCTACAATTATTACTACCTATGTTTCCTTCTCCATGAAAAACTGCATATTACCATCTGCTCTGAGTCAAACAGCTTCCAGAAATTTGCACCCAATTAGCCTTTAAAAACCACCAATGAGCCGGGCGCAGTGGCTCACACCTGTAATCCTAGCACTCTGGGAGGCTGAGGCGGGGTGGATTGCTCAAGGTCAGGAGTTCAAACCAGCCTGAGCGAGACCCCATCTCTACTATAAAAATTAGAAAGAATTAGGCCGGGCGGCTGTGGGCTCACCGCTGTAATCCTAGCTCTTGGGAGGCCGAGGCGGCGGATTGCTCAAGGTCAGGAGTTCAAACCAGGCCTGAGCGAGACCCCGTCTCTACTATAAATAGAAAGAAATTAAATTGGCCAACTGATAATATAGTATAATAAGAAAAAAAAAAAATTAGCCGGGCATGGTGGCGGATGCCTGTAGTGTCCCAGCGGCTTACCGGCCGTAAACTGTTCTTTTATTTTTAATAAGTAGAGATGGGGTCTTCGCTCAGGCCTGGTGGCACTCACTCTAGCCTAGGCAACAAAGTGAGACTCTGTCTCAAAAAAAAAAAAAAAAAAAGAATATTCTGTGTCTTTAACAAAAGTAAACTACAAATCAATAACAGAAAGATGTAGAAAATTCCCAAATATTAATATTAGGAAATTAAGCAGTACACTTTCAAGTAACGCGTGAGTCAAAGTGCAACTCTTCAAGAAAATTGGAAAATATTTTGAATTTAAAATGAAAACATAACAGCAGTTGAGACAGGCAGGGGTAAAGGGCAAGGGAAGGACTTGACTACAAAGGAGTGAGTGGCACAGAGAAATTTTGGGGAATGTACTTCTTCTGTATTGTGATTATTGTGCTGGTTGTTAGAGGACTATACATTTACCAAAACTCAGAATCGTCCCCCAAAGAACTAATTTTATTTTATGTAAATTAAAAATAAATTTTTAAAAATTTTGTGTTAATTTAACGGAGTGCAGTTTTTTTTTATAGTGATGTGTTTGGATGAGCTACTTGTCACAAGGCTGCTGGGGAAAAAAAGGAAGAAAAGCTACAGTATTTTTTAGTCAGAAGTGGGTATGACTCACAATCACTTTTTTGGCTTGAATCTTTAAAGGAATAAGAACATCTCCATTTAGAAATTTTGATTTAAAAATGGTGGTTGCTGTTGGGAAATAAAAAAGGAAGAAATTTCAATGCACAATTAACATGAGCTATGCCACTTTACAAAATGTAAGTGCATTTTTTCAAGAAAATGATGCTCATGGAAAAAATGGATATTGTTCAACATTAGTTGAACTTAAAAGCCTTTTGGCCAAATATAAAGCAAGTGAATTTTACAGACAGTTGCTTGTCCATTAAGTGTAGAAAGACATTTGCACTAAGTGAGAAAAGAACAAGCTGGTAGCAGTTTTAGATTAGTGATCTTCAGATCTTCTTTAATTTCTTTGAACAATGTTTTATAATTTTCAGAGTGTAAGTTTTATTCCTGTGTAGTTTATTCTTTTTTTGATGTTACTATAAATAATTTGCTTTCCATATTTCATTTTTAGATTGTTCATTGCAACTTTACAGAAATAAAATTGATATTTGTATATTGGTTTTATATCCTGTCACCTTGCTGAACTATTTAGTCTAATGATTTTTAAAGTGCATTCCTTGTTTTTTGTTGTTGTTAATTTATTTTAAATATACAAGAGCATGTCTGAGAATAGAGCTAGATTTGCTTCTTCCTGTCTAATATGGATGCCTTTTAGTTCATCTTCTTGCCTTATTACCCTGGCTAGAACCTCCAGTACAATATTAATGGAGGTGAGAGCAAATGTCTTTGTCTCGTTCCTAATATTAGAGGAAAAGCATCCTGTCTTTCACCATTATGTGTGCTAACATAATTTTTTTGTAGATGCCTTTATTAGGTTGAAGAAGTTCTGTTCTATTCCTAGTTTGAGTGTTTTTAGTATGAAACAATGTTACATTTTATCAAGTGCTTCTTGTACATTTAGTGAGATGACCATGTGATAGTGGGATAGTTTAGAGCTCTTTTTTTTTTTTTTTGCAGAAAAACCCAATTCAGACAGGCTTGAAGTAAAAGGACATTTATTGGCTCATTTAACTGAAAGTTCAGGGGATATCTTACTTTCAGGCATGGCGTGGTCTGATTGAGGAGTTCAAACACTGTCATCCAGATTTGCTTCCTTTTCCCTCTGTCCTTCAAATACCCCCACCCCCATTTTTGTTTATGTGGGAATCATGTTTAGGTCCCATGTAATGCTAAAATGGATACCAGCAGCTCCAGGCAAATATCCTTAAGGTCATAGAAGAAAGAGAGACTATCTCCATTTTTTTCCA